CGCGCTTCCCGGAGCCGGGTCTGCGGCCGCCGCCAGCCACGCTGCGCCGGCGGCCTCGGGGGGCGGGGTGGGGACGGGCGCGCGCGGGTGGTTGCAGGCACACCCCTCGAGCGCGCAGCCCTGGGGAAGTGGCAACCCTGGACCAGGTGGCCAAGGGAACAGGGTCGGGATCTCTCGGAGCCTGCGACCTTTTTACTTCCCCGGACCCAGTATACTCGTGCGGGCGCACACACTCACCCACACACCCACACACTCACCGTTACCCCCAAATCTCCAAGGAGCTCCAGGAAGGAAACCTAATAGTCTCAGAATTTATCATTTATTCCTAAGGTTACCCGATCTTTCATGATAGGAAGTGGGAGAGGAGGAGGAGAAAAGGGGATTCGAGGTGCAGAATCCACCCCCTTAAGAGAATTTTTAGGTCTTTGGTATTTCTATCGTTCAGAAAAGTTTTGCTACCCGGTTTAGAAATTTTTTCCCTGCTGGTGTCACAGATCTTTACAGATTTCAGTGTAAGGCCTTAGGGTGAGTCTAGAAGGATTAGTAAGTAATCAACTCGTTGGTGTCTCCATCAAGAGGAAAAGAAAGGTGGAGGAGAGAAGTGGGTGGGAGTGGAGAGCTGGAGACTTCTTAAATTTGAAACTTGCTTAGTAGGTGGCTGGCATCATTAATTAGATCCGAGGAGTGTGCGGTCAGGGATCTGTGGGACATTGGAGCACCCCTGGGGGAGTATGGGTGGCTGAGCCAAGGCATAATGGGTAATGGATCCTCTGCCTGTTGCAGACCACTTGTCAAGGTGTACCCATTCTTCTAGCTCCCGAGATGACTCATTTTCCGCGTTAAGATGTCTTTCCATTGTTTGAGAGATGGTCCATGCCCCCTGAGAATATGATCTCTCACTGTGCACAAGGCCTGACACTGGGAGGGTGTGTGAGAAAAGACACTCTGGTAGGCACTGGCGTCTGGGGTCTGGTGGGACAGAGTAGCAACACTGCAACTGCTTCAAAAAAACACTCTCTGAATGTGCATTTTGATGTTCATCTTTGCAGACTTTTTCTTGGTTCTGTTTCTTGTCACACAAGCAACTGCTGCTCACGTCTTAACTGTAGTTGCAGCTTTGTTTTACCCGAGGGAGGGAATTCAAGAATTAATTAGCTAAGTTTTGTAAAGTAAATGTAGTTTCGTGAACAGTTGTGAAACCATGTGTCATATGGTAGCCCTAAATGAGGCAAGTATTTCAGTTCCATGGAAATTGGTTTCTGCCCTTAGAAAATGCCAAATCACTTACAAGTCCCAGCCTCTGACTTTTTTTTATATTTTATTTAAGGGCAGGCTATGGCAGTAATGAAGCAGGGTCTTTTCCCTATACAACAATACCTAAAAAGTACCAGGATCCATGGCATGAAGGCTTATTCTGTGAGGGGGCATAGTGGAGGTGAAGCATGTAGGACTGAAGAGGCCACTTTCTGCAGGATTTTTCAAGGTCACCCTTCACACACAAGAATCTGGCAGAGAACAGCTCACATCTCTTCTCTCCTACTCCTAGTCTTTGAATGGATATGTGATTCTAAATGTATTTTAGTATAGCTGGCCAAGTGACGGCAACTTGCTTGTAAAAAGAGAGTGAATAAGAAAGACTGCATTACACTAAATTTGTACATAGCCTGAAAAACGTAGCAAATGGAGATATAACAAATTTTTAAATAGCCATATACACTGACAATCAGTGCTTTTTGGTGTGTCCCTCAGTGGAGAGAAATGTGGGAAAGAAGTAAGATGATCATAGTTACTTTTGCAAAGGGAGTAGTGACCTTGTTGGGAAGGGCTATGTGAGATAAATATAATACTTAAAAGCCAGGCTGATGGTTTGGAAGAGAGGAAAGAAAAGGGATAATGAACACTAAATACATTCTTGCCACGAGATGGGTAGCCTATCATTCCCAATGATGAAATTCTAAGGGTAGGTATATAAAGGGCTTATGGTCCTTTACCCTTTGTTTATTTGGGAATGCATTCCTGCAAGCTCTAGCAAATCAAGATGATTACTGCATGTCTGGTGTTTCCAGATAGAATCTTTTCTGATCACACTTTGGCAGAGTGTGCTAGGTTCCGAGATATGGCAGTGAATAAGACAGACATGATCCCTGCTATTAAGGAACTTATATTCTTCTGGAGAGTGTGTGTAAGTGCAGGTGGACAACAGACAATAAAAATGCATAAATAACATCAGATAGTGATAAACAAAGGGCAGATAAACAATAAAAGATAACAAAAAAGACATAAGCAAGAAAATATCAGACAGTGACAAATGTAATGATGAAAATCAGAGTTAACTCTTGATCTGAAGCAAGGGGTAGAGGGTTCGGATCTGTTCCATGGAAGCGGCAGAGGAAGCGGAAGTAGGGATAACCATTTGATGATGACTAGGACTTCCAAAGGGCCAGACATCTTTGCGGAGGAGGCTCTTGGTGGAAATGTTTCCCTGGGTCATCTCTGAGTGGGTTCACTGCTGACACACAGGCTACACCTCAGCAAAGGGCCAAGCTTTCTCTGTCTCTATTTCAAGTGTCTATGAGAGGGACCACTTGCTCCATCCACACAAAAAAGGCTGAAGGGCTCTATACCCAGGACAGCGCTCCCCAAATCCTAGAGAGATGGCTGGAGCCTAGGCTTATATCCTCATCCACTTCTAACAGACATTTACACCATTATCATCTAACTGGGAACAGTTTAGAAAATTTTGTATTTTAGAAAATACAATTTTTTTCTCATGTTGCAGTTCCTTGCTACAGGAGGGGAGCCTAATGGCATCAACCATGGGCACTGGTCTGGTTGATAATAATGATGCAATGACAAATTTGGCCATAATACAAAAAAAAAAATTTATTGAGTGCTTGTTATGAGTCAGGAATTGTGCTAAATACTTTACATAAAGCATATTATATATTTATACATATGTCATATTTAATTTTTAAAATGACCTGTGAGATATGTATCATTCTTATTTTGGAAGTGAGATAACAGACTCAGAGAGCTTAATTTTAAGGTTATACTAATAATAAGTGTCAGTTTAACTGCAGAACCGTGTCATTTAATCCTCATATATCATCACTCCTTACAACATCATCATTATAATGCCTTTCAAGTTTACAAAGGCCTGCAACAGTTTTACCTTTCTACCTGTCAGTGTTTTCTAAGAGTCCTTCCTTATTTTCTTCTTTCTTTTCTTTTTTCCCCAGCAGATAGTATTTTTGTATTTGGGGGGAAATGTGTTATTTAAAACACAAGCAACATAACAAAACACGTGTAGTGACAAGTTTGTCTCAGTGGATTTCCCAAATGTTCAAAGTCGTTTTCTTTTTCTTTTTTTTTTTTTCCTTTTTGTCTTTTTTACTGACTGGCAACGGGATCGCAACCCTCAGTGTTGTGCCTGCACCACGCTCAGCCAGTGAGCAGGAACCAGTCTCCACATGGCATCCGAACCCTCGGCGGGAGCACCACTGCAGTCCCAAGTGGTGCACTTTCCAGTGCGCCACCGGGCCAGCCCCAAAGTCGTTTTCTGTTTGAAAGTTCCTGCTCGCTTCAAGAGGTTGTACAGAAAACACAACGTTCCTATATACTGAACTCTTGAGTGTTGAATTTCTCTCATGCAGCACAGAAAACAATCTCTCTCTCATAATTATACTATTTCCCTCACTAATTGATAGCCTACTGGGCCATTTGTATCTGTGGGAAAATTGGAAATACTTTGTTTGCCTAGAAGAATACTAAATATGTATGATCTTCCTTCAATACCTTTGTATATAATGTCCTGATAAGTATACCCCTTGTTTACAAGTATTCTTTTTAGAAGGTCTTTCTGAGGCTTTTACTTTTTTTGGTAAATGTGGAATGTACACACCAGTCTGGAATCTGGGATAAATGAAGGCTGAAATAATGGTGTGTAGCATGATTCTTCAGCCAAAGAGAAATTTCTCTATACTCTATTTCTTTACCTTACACTGGCCAAGTAGCTCAGCCGGACGTTTAGATTCTGGATCTCAAAGACCACCAAGAATTCCT